ACAATATTACCACACCAACCCATCTTGTACCAGAGACTAGATGCAAACATTTCCTTGCCGGCCTTGTCGCTTCCAAGATGATTAAACCCCGTGTAGTTGTTTTTTTTATACAAAGTACCAACAAGGAATGCCATAAAAAATAAGGAAAAAGTATTGAGATATCTGAAATGAAAATTTAGGTAATTAACTTCGAGGAGAAAGGTAGTGTCTCATAGCCCAGCTCAATTTTGAAGACAAAATCCAAATTTGGCGAGGAAATAGCTGTTTATGTTTAAAAAAGAGCACAATTTGAAAATAACAAACAATTTATTGACAACAACAAACTTAGAACACCATGTTGTGAGGATATTGCCTCTTTCCCAACATGAATCGTGATCCCAGATAACCAAAGAGGAATTTGTGCTCTGGATTCTTCTTGATAGCGGCAAGGATTGGCTTATCAATAGCTTTCTGGTCGGTTTTTCGTTGTTCAGTGACCTAGAAACAAGCTAGAGTGTTGAGCGTTCTGCACCATTTGTTGAGACTATCATCCTCTTGGAAATTGAAATGGTAAGCTATCATAAAAAAAAAGGGAATTGAAAATCGTCAAAATTTTGAAAAGAGGTCAGCATTTGCATGTTTGGATTTGCAAAAATCCCTCTAGGATCTCGAAGATTTGATAATGAGACATGGGACTTCCCAAAAGTAAAAAAAAAAAAATCAATGAAAAAGAAAACAACATTCTAAAAAGTGTTATCCAACGAAATGGAAAAGTGAAGGCTGACCTGATATTCAACCTTTCCTGCAGCGAAGATGTTCTCTCCCTTCTTTCCAGCCAATGTCTTTCTCTTGAAGTAATCATCATTGATGTGATCTGGAATCTTCACTCCGGAAACGTCAATCTTTGTCTTAGTAGCAATGACGAAAGCTTGAGCGATTCTTCGTAGAGGGAAGTTGTTAACCTTGTGAGGTCCTAAAAACCTTTATAAATTCCACATTGTCTCCTCGATCATATCCATTTATGGTTAGCGAGCTGTATTGTCAAAAGAAAGGACCGAATATCTTGAAAAAAAACCCTAAGTACAAACCAATTT